ACATATATATATATATATGTATATATATACATATATATATATATATATGTATATAAATATTTGCTTTATGACCTCTGTAACAGTATTTCCAGTGCTACTCAGAGCTCTCTAAAGATGACAAGATGCCTGTGTTTGGTCTTTATCGCCATTGGGTTGCTAGGATTTTCCAAGTCCATGCTCCCCCACTCAGGCCGAACCTCGTGGCTGCCGTGGCTTGGTGCTGAGACATGGCAGGAAAAGACAACTCAAGGCAAAGGCAACAGCAAAATGACAGTGAAATTTCCAATGAGAAGTATTAAACCGTAAAAGAAAAGATAATGGTGGTGCTAATTTCATGTTCATGGACATAAGACAAATGGGTGGTCAAGTACTGGGTAAATGTGAAGTGTTCAGGACCTGGGACAGCAGAATGCATGGGACTTTGGGCATTCTCTAAAGCTACAGTGCTGTCTGAGGGCTTGGAGTAGACAAGGAGAAAGACATGGTTAACCATCAATAGACTGGCTTACCTTTTCCTTAAACACATGAGAGCTAAACTGATGGGGATGGCTATTTTATTAACTTCTTATGCTTGGGTCCGGCATTCTTGCCCTTGGTCATCTTTTGATAACTAAGTTTAGCAATATTTGGTGTGCAAATTATTTGGGTTCACATTTCCTCCTGTCTATCTCTGACATATTTCCTCCTCTATCTTCTCATGTACTTCAGAAGATGAGCCAAATAGCAGACCACTGGACTGAGTGGAGGGTGGGAGGACTTTATTATCTTTGTCAAGTGCTATGACACAATGCTGATATGCATCTTAAAATAGAGAATAAACTGATAAAGTGCTCATATGTCACTTCTGTGGGATGCCATAAGCCAAATGTGAACAGTGCTTAATGCAGAGCTGCCAAGTTCCATGCAGAAGCCAAAAGGGGGATTTGTATAGAGCCGAGAAGAGCTTAACTGTAGATTATCACCACGATGCTTTTGGCCCTTGGTACCATGATTTGCACTCATTAAAATGAAAAACACAAAAGGAAATGGAGGCTCTTGGTCACCAAAGCATGTGGGTGGATCTAATACTGTGTTCTCTTCCTTTATTTAGGGATTCGATATGTTATTCCATAACTAAATATTAGTAAGTCCATAGCTTAGTTTCTTGATATGAAGTAGTGAGTGGGGACATGTGGAGAACTAACAAATGTGTGCTTTAAAAACATTGGTTTTATTGTAAACATCACCTATTAAATGGAAATTATTTGGCATTCATGACACATATTTTTATTAGCAGAGCCATCACCTATGAGTCACAGTGAAGTACTGTTTTTAGAACTAGAAAACAGAGAAATATACCCCAACCCTCTGTATGAGTATAGGCTAACTGCTGCACTGAAATATGCCAAATTCTTGAAAATGGTTGTTGAGGATAGTCAAGATCTGAATATGGGAAAATTAGATGTTTAGTAACTGTCTAAAGACTACACAGCTATTTGGTTAAGAAAAAGAAAACCAAACCCAGATAGTGGTTAAATCTATAAATGTATGTGTTGCACAATCTTCTAAGAGGAATAAATGATTCTATTTTTCCTTATGTCTTAAAAAGTCTTAAGTTTATTTTCCAAATATGTGTTTTCAATAAAATAACTTTGTCCCCATATTTTCACATTGCCAAAGACAAGTCATACACTATATTACTGGATTCAACAACTTGACCCTCTGAGATATACAAAATTCATCTTTGGTACCAGAGAATAAAAAGATGATAGAAAAATTTTCATGTGATTTAATGCTTGTTTGGTTAATACAGATTTTAAAGCTGAGACTTCAGTATCTAGAAGCTATATGTGACTTAAGTTTTATCTATTGCCAGCAACTTCCACAGAATCTGGCATGGAGAAGGTTCTCAACAGATGTTAAGTGAATTCTGTTATATTCCCAGTTGTCAAATGATGAAGAAGAATAGCTTAAGATAATATAGTACTCTTTTGGAGAAGAAAATGTTTAAAAATCTGTATAAGTTGCTGTTTGACCATTCCACAAGTAACTTTCATTTCTCTGAGACAACCTCTCCCTGTGTGTATAATGTTGTATTTCTTGAAATGAGTAGGCCTTTGACAGTGGTGATATGACTGTCACTCTCCATGTCAGGTCATTAAAAAACATTGATTTCACTTGGGTCCTCCTCTCTCTCTCTGGATGTTTACCCTTGAAACCTAGCCATTGTGCCATGTCAAAGTCCAAAGTACCCATGCAAAGAGACAGAGATGGAGAAGAGGCAAGCTCTGCAGGTGGTGGTCAGGCATGAATTAGAGCCCCGAACTGAGCATGCCTTGAGTTACCTCCCCTTAGCCAATGGCAACAGAGAGTGGAGTTAAGCTGGTTCTAACAACCTCATCAAAACTGCAGATCTATGAATAAGATAAACATTCACTGTTAGTCCTAGTTTCTGGGCAAAATTTTAAGCAGCCCCAGTAACTGGACAGTTTTAGATATAAAGCAATAAAGCAAGACTTATTAATTGCAGAATATTTAATACCCAAATTAGAAAATTCTTTAGAAAGCATAAAGCTTCTTGATTGTTTAAACTTATAAAATTATCACTGATTACTCTGTGAACCAAGAACAATTGTGTCTTTCTCTCTGCCTCCCTTCCTACTTTTGATGGTTCTTTTGATCTTTCTTCCTTCCATCCACTAGTCTATTTACTTCATCTCAGCCTTTTGTTCACAATTGACTTACCAGACTGACCAGTGTATATTCTGGTATTATTAGAGGAAGGTAAGACGAATGAAATTGAATGACATTCATTATCTAACAATTATGTGTAGAGGCTTCATACCCCTTATCCAAACTGTTCAGGAGGATAGCGATTGAGATCTGGGCATTTGAGAGATGTCAGGGTAGACATTGTCCTTTGAGTATCCATATAAAAAACTCTAAATCTAAAATTCTTAAAAAATCAAAACATTCATGATGGATTTCAGAATATTTAAGAATTTGGATTCTGGGTTATAGATGTTTGATTTATATTGCATTGGTTATTAATTATTGTCTATAATAAACTGACACTCCTCTTGTGTTACTGGCATTTTCATTTGCATGCATAATAATATTGAAAAGTTAGAACTGGAGTAAATCAGTTAACCAACTGATATATTTAAAAGTACCCCAATTCTAACTGTGTTTCATACTCCAGGATAATGACTCAATGATAAATTATTTATGTTAATAGAAACAAATTCCTCATCTTATGAACAAATGTATGTCTGTGGTAGAGCACTTGCCTAACACCTGTAAGGTTCTAACTTAAATAGCCAGCACTGTAGAAGAAAGAAAGAAGAAAGGAAAAAAGGAATGATAGAGGAAAGAAAAAAACAGTGAGCCAGCTAAGCCAAAATATTCTAAGTTACTTGTAAGAACTCAGTGAGTTTTGAAGGGTAGAAATTAGTGTATATTAATGTACCAAAGGGAAATTAGAATCATATATGTTCATTGTAGTGCTTGGGTAATAATGCATATTGAAAGACATTATAGGTTAACATAATATGCATATTGCTGTTTAAAATTTATCTCACATCCAAAAAGACTAATGGCACATCCCATTTCAAATAGAACAGTTCATGCTTATATCTGAAAATGCACAGGAAACAGAAGTTTAGAGTATAGATAAGATCTTCAGATCTCTTCCTTTGTGTCAGAGAAAACATAAAATAAAAACAAACCCACAAAACAACAGCAAAACCCTAAAGGCTGGGAGGAAACCAAAGAACTCCCAGCTTAACATAGTTTATCATTTTCATGTAATTTGCACAATTCTCTTTAACCATCACTATGATTTAGACATTCAACATTTCTGATACATATATAAAATATAAATTTACTACTAGAGAGATGTCTTTTTTCTCTTGAAAGACTGACTATTGTAAAACACGCATTAATATCTGTATAATCCAATAGGGAATAATGAAATACAAACTTACAGTATATATTTTCATTACTATTCACAACCAACTCCACAATTACTTAAATTAGGGCACAGTGGCTGATCAATGTTTGAAAAGCACAAATATCTGGACTGACAAAAATTCCCTGTGACAGCTAAAATTCAAGCACAGTTCCTTTAATAAGATAATGACACATTTCCATTTCCTGACTTTACCTAGTTAGAATTCTACCAATTCCTTTTATTTCTCCTAGGTGGAGTATTAGAAACACAAGCTTGTATTCGAGGAATGTTCTTCCTGAAACAGTAATGATACTTATGAACTTTCAATATTCATCCTATGTTACAAAAGTAAGAGAAATTCACAGGAATCACACAATTTTAAAAAAAAATCTATAGAATTCCATGGGGCTTTAATGATTTCTCCAGCTTGGTTCTTCCCACTTTGTTTATCAATACTATAAATTATTGGGATTTCTCATGCTCCATAACCCTTACGTAGTTCATGGGAAGAATGTGATTCATTGCTCACTGTGGTAGAGACTTTGAAAGTTGATGCCACATGAGCGTGAATTACACAGACTCATTTCTAATGCTATGGCAATATCTTCACATACTTTACCAGGTGGCTCACTTTGTTTCTCAAAAAAGAGGAAATAATTCCCAAGGAGCTTTTACCTTACCTAAAAGTAAATCAAGCCATATTGAAATGTGAATTCCCTCATCTGCCTCACCAAGATGTTGAATTAAATCCCCCAACATTTAATAATAAATCAATTCTCAATATTGCATATTAAATCAGATATTTGAATATGACTGGGTTTTTTATTTGTTCTCTAAGTTTTATTTTTTTCTTATAATTTTGGAAGCATTCCTGATCCTGTGTGTAGTTCTATTTATATGCATAATCCCTGGCTTAGTATATATTAGATGTCAGTGTGTGTTTTAAAAGTAATTCAATAGCCATCAAGTGTGACTATGATATTAGTACAACATGCAAGTGATTTGAGGCAATATATGATTAAATGAATATTTTGACAAGAAACAAAGGTCAATAATAGCATGGTAAGAAATGCGATAGCTATTGTAATAATAACAATGGTAGTATTATTTTAAATTGATCTTGAAAACTGGCTTTAAAGATACCTCCTTTGTAAAAATATGTTTATCTCTACAACTGTTGAAAACGTCCATGGCACATGGCAAAGTGTACCTTTCTTCTACTTAGGAATCCTCTTGAGTCTCTACGTGCTCATTTGGATTCCTAGGAGACTGTGGTCATTTAATTTGTTATTCTAAATCTATAACATATAGTAACAAGATTCATGATTTCCAAATGGCACAGTAGTTTTAAGTGACCTTAATAGAATTGTATCATATTGACAGAATAATGAAACCAAAGCCTGCTAAAACTAATAATAATAATAATAATAAGCAACTCGGGAGAAGAACAAAAGTACAAATCCATACTTTTTACCCATTAACAACTTTGACAATTATCTTCAGTCAACTGACCTATAAAATGCATGCATTCCACATCTAAAAAGTAAAAGCTGAAGCTGCCTAGCTTCAGTGGCATTTTTAACTATGGCATACACAGGTCTCTAAAAGGCATGTCTTCTTGACATCAGCTTGCTCTATGGCAGCGCTTTTCTTTGATGCCAGCCTCCCTTTGAGTCTGTATAGTTATAAATTGCCAAGTGATGGGTTGTAAAAGGAACTCTCTACCTTGCAGTCTCTGTAATGAATTGAAGTTGCAAATATCAGATATCTTACCTTGAACTGACAGACGCAAGTCACAGTGTCTCCAATCCTTAAACATTCTCCGTCAAATTTACAGGTGTTGGTGTCACACAGGAAGAGATCATTTTCTCTGTCATCATAACCTCAAGTTTAAAGAGAATGCTCCAGTCATTTAAAAATGTTATGGATTTTTAAAGAGAACCCTACTTTGTGGCATTACCAGAATTTCCCTAAAATTTAATTTCAACAGCCATAGATGTTTCACAAGGATGCTTTCTACCAATAATTTCCAAATCTAGTGAAGGGATCAATAATATTTTATACTTTTTTTACAGCAGTTTCCTAGTAGCTTCTCTTTCAATATCGTCTTTTGAGTATGCCTTCTTCATTTCAGCTTAGATTAATACTGACTATGTGAATGGAAGTTTGATAATTGCTTCTCAGCTTTCTCACTAAATAGGCTATGTCAATGATCCGAACTCAACATTTTTGGAAAAGATCTGGTGATGGTATGTGGATGCTATTTTGGTATTTCTTTATCTTTAATTGCTCTTTTCTGTAAGGTCTGAAATGAGTGTTATTTGCAATTTTTCCAGACAAAGAGAAAGCAAAACCTCAATAATAGAGATAAACAGACTTGGCATTTTCTGGGAAGGTCTCTCTGGTTCAAAGGAAGATTGACCACCTCCACATTAACAGGGATGAGAAGGGGCTCCCAAGTTCTCAACAGCCTTCCTAGGCATGCAGATCATCCTTTTTAGTTAGTGCACACACCTTTGAGATATATGGCTCACAATTCATTTCTTCATGGCAGTGTCACATTTAAGCTGACTATTTCCTATGCTAATATCAGTTAAGAATGAAGCAAACTAGTCATGTTGAACAACATTAGCTACAATCAAATTTAAGGATGTTTTGTCCCTAAGTGGAAATTATTCTTGTAAAAAAAATAGCATACAGGAATGCAGGAGCCAAGAATGAGTTAGAGACATGTTGAGTTTCATAAAAAAAGCCAAGTTTAGAAATTACCCAAAGCAGAACAAAGTTAGTCTACTGACCCAAATATAATAGGACTGTAAATTTCAACTTGTCTGACAAAGGCTAAACTGGAATGGCTCATATTAATTGCCTCATGGGATTTATATTAGTCATTCCATAGAATGTGCATGCCTCCACCTTTAAGTTACACTTAATAATCACACCCTCTTATCAGTTACAGACACTTCTTTTTACTGCCACTTCTACAAAGGACACCTCATTCAAAGACAGACTTAATTCTACCAGGATTTTATTTACATAAAACGAAATGCTATAAACATAAGTGCTAAAATGAGACTAACCCAGACCATGAGGACAATGCCCAGGCATGTTTATGAAGTTTAAAATGCCAAAGAAATCACACCACAATTCTTCAGGTATATATACTAGAGGTCTAATACTGAAATGTAAAACCAGTTAGGAAGAGTGCAATAACTTCAGTCTTTGGACCCTTTTCAATTAGTGGCTTCAGTAGCCTGCAGCCTGCCAAGCTTTAGTATTCTGACATGGACTGAATGAGCAAGAGGACTGCTTGTCACTCCAGGAAACCCAGTGCGAAGTGGAGGGGTTGGAACCCACTATAGTAGTGTCACTGTGTTTTCAGAGGTGAGTCTTCCAGGCTTGGGGCATGCCCATTCTGGCTTTGGAGAATCTGTGATCGCTTCTTTCTCAACTTCTGTGCTCTACATAGGAGCTGGGAAAGCCTGGGTGGGCATCCTTGGGCTACAAAATCAACCTCTTTCAAAATCAATGGCGTTTGCAGCCAAAGAGAGAAAAGAGGGAGGGTGCGAGGAGAGAGGGAGGGAGGGCGAGAGGGCGCGCAAGAGGAAGCAGGCTAGAGGAGGAAAGAGAAAGAGGGAGAGAGAGGAAGGAGGAAGCAGGGAGAGACAGAGAAGAGAGAGAGAGAGAGAGAGAGAGAGAGAGAGAGAGAGAAGAGAGCGAGTCAGTCCTTGGAAACTTGCCTCCTTTAGAAATACCCGTGACCCAGTGCTCGGTAGGAAAGCCCTGCATATAGAAGCATGTTCACATGTTCAGCAGGAATTAACAGTTCCCCCTGCAGTTATCGTTTGATTTATTGCTTTCTCGATTATTCTTTCTCATAAAGTTATTTCTCGCACAGCCAAGCTAGACTTATTTTTTTTTTAAAGACGGGAAATAGTCTGTGTTCGCTGTTCCCTAGATTCGAGAACCCAGAAAACTACCCCCTAGTATTTCTCTAAACCCTCTCACTTTCAATTTGAGAGCAGACATCCAAGGTTCCCCACACCTGCACTTTGTTCCTATCCCAGCACGCCCAGCCCTGGCTAAAGCAGTTCCCAGTGTTTCTCAGGATGGAGATGCAAAGTGCTGGGTTTCAGGCAGTGGAAGGCAAGGGGCTGGGGAGACGCACGAGGGTGCGCAGGCAGGGCTGTACAGGTTCCCCGCTTCTGAGGGGCGAAGGGGTGGAGGGCTGAGGGTCTGGACTTACCGGAGCAGTTCCAGCCGGTGGGCGTTTGGCAGTCACTTAAGGAGGTAGGGAAAGCTGCGAGTTTCACCGGACGGGCTATGATAAGCAGCGTCACCGGCAGCAGCAGCAACCAACAGAAACCCTCGCAAAGTGTCCAGCTGCTGCACTGCCGCGGGGACTCCCACAGCACCATGACTACTTCGCGCAACTCTGCAGCAACCAACGGCTTCTGAAGAACACGGGATCGCGGGGGCCACGCAGCGGGCTACTGAGCATCCCGCAGACCACGGCAACAGAGGAGGCGGAGGCGGGAGGGACAGCCGGCAGTGAGGCTGCGGCCAAAGGAGCGCATGATCTCAGGAGTTTCAGCAACATCCAGTGACCCGGCTTAGCCCGGGGAGCGAGAGGATAGTCCACTGAGAAGCTTCGCCCCAGAGGCGGGGAGCTGCTGCCATAAGGAACAGGGTTGGGGCAAAGGAGGAATAGGAGACAGAAACCAGGGGGCAGAGAGGAGGCAGCCAGCGGGCAGAAGAGAGGCTCGCGACTAGACTGGGTGGAGGGACAGTCACAGCGCCCCGCAGCCCAGCCGCCGCCTCTCGCGCTCTGCCGCCCGCATCCCTCTGGCGTTTGGGAAGCAGCAGGTCCTTAGCCCGCCCGGGGTCACGTGGGAAGCGGCAGTCGGACTCTGATTGGCGGAGAGAGATGCAGGTCCCGGGAGGGAGGGGTCGGCGAGGAGGTGCAAGGAGGAGGCGGCCACCGATGCCACAGATGGGCTAGCTCTCTAGGCTCTTTCCTTAGTCCGGCTAGGCGGGGATGGTTCCTGGGAGAAGCTCAGGCTTCAGGGCGGCTACTCCCACGCTCTTTCATCCCACTTGCCTCGCTGCTCTGCTCCAGGACGCCCCCTACCGTGTGTGGGGTCCGGGCTTCCACCTCTCCCGTGCGTGACCCGGGGCTGCCAGCACCCGCTGCGGCTGGGTGGCCTTGTCTTCCAGCTGGAGATGGTGGGGGCGGAGGAGGTGGAGAATCCGCAGCCACTGGGAAGCGAAGGGGAAGCGGGCAGGGAGCAGACGGCGTCCCGCTGGCGCCGCTGGGCCGGGAAAGGGATCTAGGCTGGGCATTCCGTGGTAGCGTAAGAAGCATAAGGATGCTTCTCTAGGCGGTGGCCGAGAAAAGCCGGTGAGAGGTGTCTGTGTGAGAGCCGAGAAAGCTCTGGATAGCTTAAAGCAGCAACAACGGCTCCCCGAGGAGCTGCAACCCCGACAGTGCTCTCCAGGCGGGCGCAGCCAGTCAGTCTCCCTGGCTCTCCCCTTCTCCTTGTCCCTCCTTTTCCCTTCCAGGCTTTCCGTAGCGCAGACCCGCTAGGGCAGCTGAGGTTTGGTTCCCTTTCCCTATCCCGCTCTGGTGCAGCCTGCAACCTACTTGTGTGGCTGTCTAAAAGGCGCAGCCAAATGTGCTTGGAAGGTCAATTTTGGTTGGGACAGGTGGCAAGAGGCTTGCTTCCCTGCATCTGTGCTGAGAATGGGTTACAGGGCGAATCCACAGCGAAGCAGCGTCCGGGAGGAGAGGATTCGCTTAGACTGCATGGGCTGCCCTGGGTGCTTTACTCTGGGTCTGCGGGATCACCAATAACCTGGGAGAGGCAAGGACATTTAACCCAGCTGGAGTCACTGGCTCTCCCTGGTCCTTTTTCGCTCCAGCACTCGGGAAACAACAGAGCGGTACCGCCTTCCTTCTGCTGCACTCTGAGTAGTTAGAAACACTCTTTTGCTTAATGGCAGGTTAGCTTTTAGGGCCCAGAGCTAGCTATCTGGGACGAGCATTGAGATGAGTGTTTGGTCCCTACTGCAGTCACAGGGTTCTATATATATATATTCTCTCTATTTCCCTCTTTCTCCTCTTCCTTCTCCGTTCCCATTCTCTCCTTTTCTTTCAAGAGCCCTTGTTCCCTTCCCAATTTCTTTAAATTTCCTTGTATCTCCCTCCCATATTCTCCTGAATCTTGACTGAGAGCATTGTTTGATGGCATCTAAGAAGCAATTAGCGTGCTTTACCAAAATCACTTGAAAGAGGCTCCAACAGACTTTGAAAGAGGGACTATCTATCCTCTGCAGACTCCACCAGAAAACAAACTATGCCTGAGCAATCCCTCTAAGTACTGTAACCTCCAACCTCCTCCCACCCCCTTGCCTTTTAACTTTGCCTCTGAGAGATGTGATCCCACAGCACCTGGGAGCCTTAAAGCCACCTCTCTCTTTCTTCCTCAATGTGAAACCCTTCCCTTCATCTCACACCTCGCCTCTCTCCCAAGACTACCTTTCCCCTCCCCCGCCCACCTCTAAAGATTTCTGAATCTTGGTGTCTCTTGCCCCTGGCAAGTAAGCAGAGCAGATCTCAGCGTTCCAGTCAATGGCATCTCTCACCAGCGAAGACTCCATTAGCACAGATCAATTTGACCAGACGTTGGAGGCATCAGAAAAATCGGCTTTTAGATGGAGCAACTGAATTGTTGAAGGTAAAGGAATGCCCAGAAGATGGAGCTGCCAAAGAGATCGCAAAAACAAAGAAACAGTTGCCTTTCAGCAGAGACTGCAACATACATTCAACCTTAATGTGGACCCAGCTGCCCCAACCCCAGCGTACCCTACCGAGTAAGAACCTGGGATTTTCCCTAACAAGGCTCGATTAGCGATCAGCAACTAATGAGGCTTATGAAAATAAGCTCCATTGAACTAAAGACTAAGTCCTTCAGACATGTATTTTCCCAGTGATTATGGTAGTCAACCAGAGCTAGGATCGCACGGCTTGACTGTAACATAGAATTTCACAGAACCTCTTAGCGAGGAAAATTGTTATTGAATTCTCTGCTAAGTAAGATTTCGGCGTGTGTTGTAAGAATGTGTATTCTTCAGACACTTTTCCCACCGTAACTTAAAACCTCAACAGAGTCAATTACTGGTTGTGACTGGTTAACACAGTTGCCTCCACAGAGGTTCTTTAAACTATTAAGCAGTTGGAAGCAAAGCCTTTTGGTTGGGAATGCCGTGCTGCCGTCCCACTCACTATGCCTTTAGTGTTACAGTGCCACCAAGAAATGAATTCTGCAACTGGCAGGCACCACCAAGTGGCAGAAGAACATCATTCACTGAACAGAGCTTTGCCTTGTTCGATATGTAAATAAAATATGCAGATTATTTAGTCTTCATTAGAAACTGAGGAACTAGACACGAACATTTTATTATTTTAAAGTTGTACAAGCACTTCAAATCGTTCCCACTGGGTTCAAATCAGTTTCCTTACAACAGTTAACTTTCAAAGTATGTCTACAAATTGGACCTTGCATCATATATCGTTAGTAGTAATTTAATTGGACCCATACCATGGGTTTTTCAAAGTTCCTATTTAAAGTAGTACATGATATTAGCTTTCACTATTCCTAAGCTAGAATACTCCGGTTGTGGGACACATAATCTAGAATTGGTGCAGAACAGAGAGGTTAACCTATATTAAGACAAAATTTGCAGAGAGATACTTTATTTTTGTAGAAATATTTTTTAAAATTTAACTTTTGTTGTCAGTTTTATGAATTTAAATAAATTTGCATTTAATTTGAATGATTTTATGATTCTGAAATTATAAAGTCTCATCTGCCCTCCCCTTTCCGCCTCCTCTCCACCCCTTCCCATGTTTTCCTCATTCTTCTTAAATCAATTTCCTTTTTGCTTTAGTTATTGTTATGCATGTGCATACATATAAAAGATAACTTTTGAAAACATTTGGGGGAGACACTGAGTGATAGCTCAGTTGTAGAGGATTTACCTCACATGCAGGAGGCCCTGGATTTTGATTCCCAGCACAAAACTAACAACAGACTATTTTCCTAGTGGCGAGGACATTATCAAGACCAGTGAGAGTGCTCAGGGCTTAAGAGAATTGCAAAGAGAAGAAGAAATTGTTCTAGAAAAGCAACATTGAAGATAAGTGAGCTTTGAAAAATAAGACACTCAAGCAATGAAGGATTTGGTTTTCTTCTCTCTCCACACTTTTCTGATTGTTCACTAGAGATAGGGTGCAGACTGTGCTTTCTAGTACGTCAGACATTTTACCAAACAGAACAAAACACTCTGTTATTTAATCCCTACAAACGCCCTGGAGAGACAAAAGTGGTAACTAGTCTTGTTTTGTGAACAAGCTGCATCAAGAATTTTGGAACTTAGTAAGATTCTGCCTATCATGGGAACACAAGACCTACTATCATTTTTCATTGGTTTATTGTTCCGTTGAGATGGACTATCTGAGCTTTTCCATGAAGGGTTTTTGTGTGCCCTTTTGTTGATGCATAGTATCACCCACATCAGTTAGTTCTCAAGCAGGAACAATGATATGCAGTTGTTTCCACATCTGTTTGATCATATGATTAGTTGAGATTAATTTATTTTAAATTTATTTTTGTGTGTATGCATGCCTGTGCCTTAGCACACATGTGGAGATCAGAGGAAACTTGTGAGAGTAGGTTGATCAAAAGATCAAGAGATCAAACTGGGATCATCAGCTTGGTGATAAGAACACTACCCTCTGATCCATTACCTAGCTCATGAGAGTTTTTTGTTTTTGTTTTTGTTTTTTTTTTTTTTTT